TAGCTCAAAGGCTCCATAGAAGAATGGAGAACCTCTTTTGCAACTCTTTTACATTCGGGCGAGTGTAAGAAACTCTACGCTGGATAACGCTACGTTCGAGTTTACTGCTCAACCGTGCACCCTTAGCCGCTGGCGTTATTTAGTTACTTTACGCACTTTAAGCGTTAAGAGAAACAATTCACAATTTTCTATTCGGCAGCTTTAGTAGTCAGGTAGTTGGTTCAGGACAAAAGCAGGCGCTATTAAAAAATTGCTATTACCACCACTCCTACGGCCAGAAGCACGCACGCAACGAAACTAGGTATCCGCCTTATAGGCGCAGAGTCTACAAATATTTGAGTCGCAAGGCATTACCTTAAAATAGCAGACGTAATCGTTAAAACTGGAACTTCGGGGCGTCTAATATGTATCAACAGACAGATAATGAGGATGTATATATATAAGCCGTCAAACGAAACATAAGTCGAAAGGTACCGTACAATCTGTTGAGACGATTCCCGTCGCTCAGCCGTGTCGCTAACTCTCTTTATTTAAGCCCAGGCCTCTATGTTTGTGGTTCGGAAATTCAGATAACGTATTCAGATAGACTCTTTGGAGTCGAAAACAATAGGCATAAAAAGTAACCAAATTCTCTGCTGCAAATTCTACTGTTAGATATATGTTTGTTTTCATATAGTCGTACTGCTTTTCGTAGTATTATTATAGTATTGCCAACGCATTATTAATATAGTATTTAATTACTTAAGAGTAGAACCAGTCTGGTAATGATGGCCTTGGGTGTAAGTTATGGCCTTTGTTAAATATGCACGTCCGATATCTATATGTGATATCCAAGTTCGATATATGCCCGTTATGAGGGGAATTTTATGATTCTTTGTCGCATTAGGTGAAGGTGGCAAAAATAAGACATAGCCAAAATTATACGTAACCTAAATAGTGGGAGTACGTATACCTGAGTGTTCACTGGCAGAATTCAAATTAATAGTGAATAATTCCATTCCGAAACGCGTTGGCTTGCTGAGATGTTTGCGATCCATCACAAAACATCCTCCCTAATAATTCGATGGACAGTTTGTGGATGTCACCAATTTTCTATTCTAGTCAAAGTAAACTCAAGCCTTCCGCGAGTCCTGTCGCCACTATATGCCAGTCACTAACGCTAGCTGATAACTGATAGTAACAGAGCAAGGAAAAGTTTTTTCACCGGGACCGATATGTCGTCTATACGAGGTAAACGTTTTGTTTTTCCGTAGAGAACTTTTTAAATGAACACATAACAGGGCCTTATGTGAACTTTAACATTTCGGGCAGAAGCGTCCATCGTCATTCAGGGTTACGAAGCAGACAAATACAAATTTAATGGTCGAGCCATATTTCCAAGGTAGCCACAGTAATCAATCAATCAATCAATCAATCAATTTTTTTGTTTGAGTAATCAAATTACTTTACTATCGTCGAACGAAAAAGCTGCGACGTTTTCATAGCTATAACACGCTTCGTAGAGCCATTGTCGAAGAGAGGATCAGCTTATCTTTTATCCGGAAAAAGCGCGACAAACATAATCATTCGGGTACGAGCCCCCAGGGATGGAGGGGGCCGTGAAGACTGAACATCTTAGCGATTTAATTATGCTGACAACTGGCCATCCCAGCTTCAGAGAAATTAGCCCTGGGTTAAAGAAGTCCTCTTGGTACAGTGCTTTCGCTCCCTGCATCTACCTAAAAGTTAATCTGAGGAGAATGCCTTGTACAAAAATTCTATTCTGTATGAATAAATTCGGTTCAGTGTGGCGCTGCAATGATCAGATTTTTTCAAAGGGTTTCTGCGCTCAAATCTCTAGTCTGTATGATAGCAAAATGTCGTAATAAGACAATTTATACTTTACTGCACTTGCCAATCGATTACGAACTCCGTCCTCAGGCGTTACACTGTGAAACACTAATGCTACCTCTTGGTAACCTAAGTAAATGTTTGAGGTGAGACGTTCGATTCTTTCCATTGACAGTTGCTTTAAACAATGATCTACAGTACGAAAAAAAAAAATAGTTCCAAGTATATTTAGTGCTACTGATTATCGCTACCGATGCACGCAAAATCCAGGCTTGAGGTCACCAGCTTGGCTATGTATGTACAAAAGTATTCATGTATATCTATGTGCGTGTTAATAAAGTACGGGATAGTTCCACACTATATCTGAATTTTCGATTATTTGAATTCTGTATTTAATAGATAAACAATTGACGATTCCTACACAGATGTCACTACCATCATTCATCTATGTAAGAGAGGATTGCCGAAATGCAGCTGGCCTTTTCTAAAGATGCGTAAATAAACGGTGTTCTTAATAGGCCATCAAAGCTCCAACTCCAAATGTGTACTGCAAAACCTAGACAGAGATTGAGATATCACATGTATTCGAGTCGCCACCATGAACTTTATATGTAAAATATAGGTGGAACAGAAACTGTAAGTTTTAGCAGCCGATGTTCAAGCAGCCATACGTGTCTATGTTTTAAACAGTTTCGGACGCAATGCGCAAATGCGACAGGGTAACTGCGTGCACAGACCATATTATTTCGCCTCGCCATCCGGAAATATACAGATTGTCTTTGCCAGTTAGTAGCTTCTCTTGCTGCAAGACTAAACTATATATATATATATATATCTTCATTCAAAATCTCTCGGCACCGTCTCGCGAACCGTCTTTTCATAGTGGGCTTCTTGCAAAACGCCAATTGGAAACCCTAAACTTCGTTTTCTCTAAGCAAATTGGCCACATACGTAAATTGTCATGAATTAGGTACGTTGTAGTCCATAATATTGTGTCACAAGATGCCACTTTAAAGCAATTGATGTACGTATAGCCGAAATGTTTCTTACAGACACTTGTAATATGGTGTCGCCATATAGCTATGTAGGGATATTAAAAATTCAACCCTGTTAAAATCAAAAGGTATCAGACATCTGGAGCTGAGACTTCCCTTGGGACATCTTGCGAATAGCAAGCCCATCTTATTTTTAAAGCCTCTATTTAATTTGCCAATATGGCTCGAAGTTACGACAACACTTTGTTGCCAGTTAAGGTACATTGTCCCACAAATCACAACAATAACTTCCCGTGCTAAATTCAGTAGGTCACATTCAGCAGTGGCCCTAGATACTATTACAGTTCAAAAACTAACGAAAGTCAATGGACCTATATATAAGAAGATAAAGCTATCTTCTTATTTATTTAGTTGATTTTGTTTTGAAACGTTTGCTTTATAGCCCTTGACCTTATTGGACTGCGTTTGTTATATTAAGGCTAAATAGAAGGTTATTATAAATAAATAAGGATTTAGTGTGTACACAAATTTTAAATATTTTCAAAAAAATATTATTTTTCTTCCTAGATCCCTGAGAAATCCCCTCAGATGTGTACAAGTTGATCAACAAAGCAAACCGTCCATGATGGAAAATAAGCTTTGTTGTGAATCTCCGTTGTCTAAACTTTACATTTTACCATATCAATTCAATGTTACACTAGACCATGTGTAACTTCTAAAAATGATAGTGGAATAAAGAACCTTTTAATATCGAGATGTCTACTAATGTTTGATTTCTCGTTACTTAGAGATTTTTAGCTTAGAGGGTGCCAGGCGACATTGTCTCAACGACGTTGCTTACAAAAACAATAGCTTCAACATATGGAAATCGATCGAGCACGACGAAATGCGTTTGCTATAAAGCTTGAATTTCCTATGTAGGAATCGCCTGTCCATACGTGTAGCACGTAAGAGATGGAGTAGTGCGACACACCGACTTCTTCCTGCAACCAAACAGATCAATAACCTGGGTCGTTCTACGAAGGTTCGGGCAACAGTTTACTTTCTAATCTTGTTGAGCCTCTTACAAGGCTGGCCAAAGAATCGTCCCGCGGGTTCTGCACGAATGCATACAGCTGGGAACGTCATATGAAAAATCGATGCGTGATCAGACTACGCGTTTATGCGTTCGAAAGCAAGTAGCTGTCAGTACGGTTCGTCGTTACCATAGAGGAGATGCTATAGCTTATAGCGTCGACTTACTGTGCTTCGTAGATGTACAGCTTTCCAGACTTTTCAATCCCACAAAACGTACGAAGCTATAAATCTCAAAATTAACAAAGAGTAAATAGCTTGGCGCTATTTCTGAAAAACTGTGAAAAAAAAAGATAAAATAGATGTCGATTAACTGCTTTTACAAGAATAGTTTTAATCCTCCATCGTGCTAATAAATACACCAGACAGTTTTACTCATTCTCTTATCGAAAATGGCCTTTGTTCCTGAGTGACTCTGCATATCACCACCATGAAGCTTCGTACGTTTCTGCTGCTATGATTTGAATCGATACTACTTTTATAATATTATCTGTCTTTACAGTTAGTCAAATTGCTAAGTTATTCCCATCCGACGACAACGTACGCGATCACACCTTTTGCAACGTACGATTGTCCAAAGTGTGAGCTAGAGCTGATTCAAATATCCAAGACCTCATGGACCAGAAGAACGCACGCAATAGTTCCCTCACAATAACATTTTTGATTTTCGAACAAAGATAAGATGGTCAGCACAGGGTTTAGGAAAACAGCTGAATGAAGCCATGTTGAACAAATTTAATGGCGTTTGAGTACGGCTGAAGGTTCCACATCGGGCTTAGTTTTTAGTGGTTTTCAGTGAAATTTTATTTATTAACCTTTGCTGGTAGAATTGAGAGCTTCAGGTGCAGGTCAACAACACAATATTTCAAGATTAGAGCACATATATCGAACCATTTAAAACACTGCGTCATATAAGTTTTTCAAGTTCGTAAAACTAACTATACTTGTTCTACTACTCACCAGGTGGTTCGGTATTCGTTAGAATATAGAATAGGTGAACGCAATGAAAAAAAGTCAGCTGCGCTACCCTGCTGCAATCCGAGTGGTCTGACGTTTAAACGATTTCATTAGAGCTTAATGACATAAAAACCTTCGAGATACCTGAAAGGTCGTCGTTTAATCGTATGACCTGTTGTGATTGTGGCGAGCTGATCACCAGCTTCCGTGAGCGCAATCTCTGTAGTGTCGTCGCTCATGTTGGCGTCCGGCAATAATGTCTCGCGGGAGTAACAATTCCTCAGTTTGTACGCTTCCGGGGCACTACAAAAACCAAGAAACAATAGGTTTTATACTATTTGCGGACGATTCAGTCAATTAACGATTGAAGGGTTTTCCGATTGCTTATTAGTAATATTACCTCAGTCTTTACAGTTTGCCAGCGATTCAGCTTCCGTCAACCACACGCACAAAGAGAGAGCCACACTGATAAGGATTTCTTGCCCACAACGATCTTACATATTAAGGGAACTTTCAAACAGCCTAAAGATCCTCAAAGGGAACATTTTACTCCTAGAGGACGTGAATCAACAGCGGTCGTCGGCGGGGCGTGTTAGATCAATGTTATATTGCTTATTCATTTGTTTTCGTAATTATTTTCCTTTTAACCAATGAACACAGTGAGGGGGCATGTAGACACACTCTTATTACTAGATCCGACACCCTCGGGCTTGTCGCTTTTAGTAGCTAATTTACTTCCACAAAAACAAACACATATTTGTTGATGTCTTTTCTCCTTCTCTTCTGATTCTTTGCTTCTACCGAACAACGATGCGAGTAACAGAACCCGAACGAGCACTGCATTATTCACTGCAATAACACACTATTCTTCAGTTTTTTCATTGAAATGTAAACGTTTCTCAAATTACTTTGCCGATAATTTGTCCTAGCGTAGTATGCCTGAATTTACTTACTTAGGCGTACGCGAACTTGCAACAGAGAAAACGCAGCGCATCATAAGTTTGGCCTACATATGCTGGCACTGATGTTTTCGCGAGAATTAAGTGTAACGTGGTAGAACTCGTATTCGAGTATGGCTACAACCAGCAACAAGTAGCGACGAGCGAAAGCTTTTTCTGTACAGGAGCAGGACTGGCAAAAGCGGCGAAAACTAGAGCGACAAAGGAGAAGGCCAACGAAAGGATTTTAATGTATCTGTTACCACCACCGCTAATTTTTCAACAACAACTTTAATTTTTTCCCGTGTTTTATCCTCCTTGGGACACGACAGTTCACAGCAGACCTCCAGCAATAACTATGGGCGTCCTACTAGAGGACCACCATGCTCTTCTTTAATCGTGCACGCTGGTTTCGTACCCCCCCCCCCCCCCAACTATGCCACCAAAGCTACGACGGTGGAAGGCAAAGGAGAGAGATGACACGGCCCTCTCCGTAGAAAGGAAGGGCCTTAGCTGATATTCTGCAAGCAGACTCAACCACTTGGTAATGGGACCTGAGAGCCGGGACATATTTGCTAATCTTGGGGCCGACAATGGCCAACAGGCTGCGACGTAGGCTGTGAAACCGAAAGATATGCTACATATGGCTGCAATAGTAGCTGCAGTATTTATTGTGTTAACGCTGATTGTAGAAAGCGTAGGACTAACACGAATTCCTGCAATATACAAAGCTTCTATTCTTTGTTGCGTCACCACGAACTATTGAAATTTATGGTTTTCTGCCGCACTTTTCTCATAGGTATGCCGCCCCGCCTGTGGTCGCATAACTGTGGAAAAACATCATAGTCGAATAAATCCGTAGTTGTTTTGCCTAGCTTTCAGCTTCATTGTAGTTGGCAAGGCGGCCTGTAGTGAATACTGAGCGAAGCCTTGTTTGCGGCTAGATAAGTCTGAGTCGAAAAATGATGCCAGCATAAATTGTCGCTGCTATTATTGACTCGGTAAAGGACATCTAAAACGAGTGACACCTGCGCTGAACACAAGCATTGCACCTCTGTATTATGCAGATTGTTTAGAATGAAATTCTTTGTTTAAACTTTTAAATAAAGTTAAATAAGCTAACACATCTAGCTCTGTTAAATATTTACATTAATGCCACTAGCAAACTAAGTAAAGTTCAATATACTCAAATCTACCTAATAATCATTCAAGCAGTTGCTATATAAACATATGTGCCTGATTGTAGGTTCTACGACTGCGGTCCGGTACGAACCTTGTTGTTGTATCGTTCAACAACTCAATCCCAGCGGGTTAAAAGCGCCGAATTAAATTGAGGAGTGACCTTTTATGAGGATTTCTTCAGCAATTACTTCTGCCCTATCGTAAGTGTAGCTTCCAATGCATTTCAGTCTTATGTGCTTAAACTCTATAACACAATAAGCCGTTTCGTGCGCTATTTGACCTTTTATTCGTTATTTGATGCTTTTACCTCTCTAAATAGTGAAGTCAACCGTTCTTCATCGGCCATGTACAAGATAGGCCAAAGATCCCCAATCCATATGTGTGAAAAAGGTAACTGCTTTTCTTGGTACGCAATTTTTTTTCGTCATAGCTAGCTCTCAGCTGTCGTTTCTATGATAGACTTCACTACCTTTGTTTAGCGTTGCTTTATATATCTCCATATAAGGAACTCAACACGGGCAGTCTAGAACGACCAGGAAAGAAAAAGGGGGTTGTTCTATTTATCGTCTTTTCAACTGTTCGGATTTTTACTGGATCAAAAGGGTGTGTCCGCCCAGAGTCAAACCTAAACCACCTCTGTGGCCTCCAAATTTATAAACAATGCATTGCATTATGCCGGTGACCTCTCAACATACAACTGCGATGAATGCCACGTCGAAGCTCATTAGAGTTGTTTTGCAGCAGAAATGGATTTTTCCTTTTGAAACTCTGCTACATCCGATGTCCCCTTAAGACAACTATCCACAAATTATAAAATAATTAATATTAAAAAATCATATTGAAATATGAATATTGAAACAAATTTAAAGTCACTACTGCTAACAAGCTTTTTCTCTAACGGACAATTAAAAGATGTTCCGTGAAAGTTTTGTTAGCTTTTTTATTGTAACTTGACCATGAGTAGCTATAAATATCCAGCCCAACACATCAATTATCCGCACGCAACTGTGCATCAACTTGCAATTCTATAATTCATAGTTATATTAATGTTTTGAATAGGCGGGTTCCATTTAAGCATCGGTGACGGGTTGCTCTACCTTACAATAAAGTATCTCGCTTTAAAATTCCTAAATAAAGCGTTGAGTTGCTTTTTATCGAACCGCAGATTAGGACTGAAATAAAGCGTCCATATTAATAAGTCCCCATTCTGCCTAGTGATTATCAATAAATCAATCAAACATATCTGTTCACCTCAGCAGTTAGAATTCCCATCTTCCATTAGGTTGGAAGTATTGGCTCTTCTTGTCAAATTTCGCTATTTCAGCCTCATATTTTGCATTGTTTTTCAAAGTGTTTAAATTAAATAAACAATTTGAGTTTTTTGTTCCATACTTAAACCGTTAGGCATTGCTTCAGACATGCCGCGCCAGATTAACGAAGATCGAAGGTGCGTGAGTACGAGGCCGAAAGTGCTCCCGTAGTAGAAAGTGTCCTAAATCTTGAAGGAAGCGAAGCGCTTTTAGCCGAAGTTTGGGTCTAAATAAAACCTTTAGAAGACAGCCAAGCATGAGTATACGAGAACCCTTGCGTCATTTACAAACAACCAGTTTGCATAAAAGTAATCGTATGAGACGGACTCTAGGCAAGAGGCATCGGACTTTCATGTACTTCATAGTTCTTTCTACAAATACACGTTAAAAGGTTTCTTATGGCCGAAATTGAGGGAATTTGACGTGGATAACCCAACATCGCCTACCATTGCACATAGGTCTTGCATAACAGGACTTACGAGTTGGGTTCTATGCGTCGTTAAAGCTTAGAGCTCTTACTCAAGCAATTTCGTTAGCAGGTTTAGCTCTTCCCATCGACCGCCGGATGACCGAACAAATGATTCCAAAATTTGAAAACGGACGAAAATGAGTCTTCGATTGTTTTGCCCCAAAGTAGTCGCAGCTTCATTGTTACTGGACTCACAAGCCGCAAGGTGTTGAAGAACTATAGATCATAACGAAAATTGCTTCAGCTGCTGGGGTCTTTGCACTGCTTTAGAACGTACATATTAAAATGCCGGGAGTAAGAGTTTTTTTTGATTGCGCACTTGTTACATAAATGCTTTATTTAACAAAACTCTTGTCCATGAAGACCATTTTAGTCGGGGTTACTTATTAATCTGCCCTCTCTACGTGTGTACATCTTATATAGTGTCTCGAAAAATGTATGCATAAATGATTATAAATTCAGTTTTTACTTACATAAAATTCATACATAAAAACAAATATTAATGTATGTGATATGAATATTTTTTAATTGCAAACGCATCTCCATAAAACGTAAAGTTGATCCTCTTATCGGAGACGTCCAGGATTCCCAGTGTTCTAGTTAATACATTGATGCTAGCAGTAGACTACTGATTCATAAATTCTAGCAAAAATTTCATTTAAATTTGTGTCGTAGGTTTTCTGGCGGAGAATTTACCCTTGAAGTATCCTTACAAAAAAAGGTCCATTAACGTCAGGTCTGAAGAGCGGGCGAAATATTTTGTGGTCCTTCTTCGTTCAGTTTATCTTCTTGGAAGATACTCAGCAAGATATGGTCTGTTCTGACATCAGGATGGTGGTTTGCAAATGTTCCGTCCTGTTGGAAACAAAATTTGTCATCGTCATCAAAATGAAAATGTAGTTAGTGTTCCTGCACAACGTGTGAATTTACAGTTGCCCCATAAGTATAATCATGCCGATTTATTATGTCGTTTAACCGGAACGTAGCTTCATCGCTCCAAATAATTTCCTTCAAGACCATACATCTTATTCACTTTCTTCTGGTACCATTCGCAAAAATTGTTTTTTTTTTTTTTTCGTTCTCGTCATCGATAATTTTTTCTATTTACAATGCCTTAAAATGAGATTGACAAATGATTTACTAATGACAAGCTCACGACTTACCTGCTTTTCAGATGCTTCGATACTACTTTAGAGTACTCCTTTTTGACTGGTAAAGCTTGTTGATATCCTTCGTGTTCCGAAACATCATTTGGACATTTCGAAGAATTTAAACTTATCTTTTGTCCTATGAATTGTGAGTCGCACAAGCAGATCCATCTGAAATTTTCTGCGATATACTTTTGTTTTGTACTTTTACTATATTTTCACATCTCCAATAACATTTTAAAACAAATTTTCTTTGTTCACTGATTGCTCTCATTAGTTCTAATTGATTACATCCTGAAACAATCAGGAAGTTACCTTTTTGAGAAACCGTGTATTTCTTAGGTTTCACTCAATTTTATACCTACAATGTAAACCTTTCAGAGGCCACACCTACTATAGCCTACTCTATGGAACGCTATATGGCTAGTGAAAAGGCAATGCTGCAAACATTAGATAGAGTAAATAGCCTTAAGTTGTCGATGCTATTACCGGTGGCGCAGTCAATTCGGCTCCATCGTACGTAAGGCCACTGTAGTGTTTAAATCGTAGGTTCTTTAGGTGCTCTTCTACAGTGACACGTTCCTTTAGCGGACGAGCACGAACCCTTGAAGCCAAACGGCAGGCCATTCACCTACTAGACTACTTCACTCAAGCATTAGGCTGGTTTGGTCTATACAGATCGTAAAATAACAGGGTGTTCGGTGAGAAACGACTAAAATGCCTGCTATTAGGCCATAACTTAGCATCCAATGTGAGGATGGCAAGGCAGTTTGTGGAGAACAACAATTTGCAAACGTCTGCATAAGGTAACTGCGACCATGGCCTAATAGATTACATCCTAGAACTTTAACGAACAAACAAGCAACGACCTAAGCACACAGATTTGGTGTAATTTAATATTTGCATCGGGATAACGGTTCCTGGAAGGTTTTTCTTATTCAGATCAGGCCATCTACCACCAGTATCCTAAACGAATAACTCCGTTTACAAAATGCAATTCATAAAAACACTCTAGAGTTTTTCGATTCATATACTCTCGGTAAACTCGGCCAACGGCCGTCAAATTAATGATTATACGGGTACGTATTTCTATCCCCTGTATAAGAAGCGACCAGATTCTTAGCACGTAATAAGTGAGCAGCCTGGGAACTTATGCTTTTCCATTGTTTCAACACGAACACCGTGCGTATTCTTTGTTAATTTCGTACAGCTGATAAAAA